CTCATTTTCGGTGCAGTCACACCATGCACATCTCGTGTGACACACACCCCTGTCGCCAGGGTACGTGTAACCCCGTTACAGTATTCTTGTTTGGGTGTAGGCACACCATGCCCATCTCGTGTGACACACACCCCTGTTACCAGGGCACGTGTAACCCCGTTACATCTTGAATCTTGATTTGTCCACACACAGCGCCACTTCTTACTTGTCACCCCACTCAAATTGGGTCAGCAGTCAGTAAAAGTAAGCTTAAGGCGTCCAAGTAAAGCCTTTCTTCCAACACTTAAGACACGTGCGAGGCGTAATACAATATGTAAAATACGGTCGAAGATAAATGAGAGCTTATAATTTTTCAATATGCTTGTTATGCTTTAACATGTGAAAAAGATAGTACATATGAAAAATATCACACCTTCCCTTGTCTTGGACATGCGAAGTCAAAAAAGTTGACTTCACATGTACAGACGAGGTGGTATGAAGCTGCTATTTCAAGTGACCAAGGACGTTTAGAACATTACTGTTTGTCTCGTCTGCAGTGCTATTCATTACAATAAACTTGAATTTACTGCCCTGCTTAGAGCTTAAAGAACTTTAGTCTGCACATTGGTTATTTCTGTCATTGCAGGAATGACACTAACGGGATCTACGTACGCTTCGTCAATTTTGATCTTTGTCGAGAAATTTTTATACTTGTTCCTAAAATGTTATTGGGTATTAAAATTTGCAAGTTGCAGAAATTCTAATAAATAGTCAGAATGCGGGTTGTATGCGTTTCGGACACACACGGGCTGCATGACGACGCGCTCGCCATACCGAATGGCGACGTATTTGTGCACGCTGGTGATTTCACAGATACAGGAGAGCGCAGCGAGGTGCTAGCCTTCAATGAATACCTAGGTCGTTTGCCGCATCGCTACAAGCTTGTGATTGCAGGCAACCATGAGTCATCCTTTGATCGAGCCTTCTACCCTCGATTCTGGCAACAATACGGTCATAGACAACAGTATGACCCGGACGAAGTGCGAGCACTTCTTACGAATGCTTTGTATCTTGAGGATCAAGCCGTTCTGATCGAGGGATTTCTTTTTTATGGAACACCTTGGCAGCCAGAATTTTGCAATTGGGCTTTTAATTTGCCTCGAGGTGATGCTTTATTGAAGCGATGGAGGCATATCCCCTCAGACACTGACGTTCTTATCACCCACACACCCCCTATGGGACATGGAGATCTTGTTGGCTACCAACGTGTGGGCTGCTTGGATTTATTACGTGAAGTGGAGAGTAGAGTGCGACCAAAATTACATGTTTTCGGACACGTGCACGAAGGGTATGGTTGCAGTACCAGTCCTGATGGGGAAATAACCTACTTTAACGCTTCGATCTGCACGCATAACTATGAGCCCGTGAACATGCCGTTTGTATATGAGTTGTCAGGCCCACCCAAACGAGGCCCAATACGGACTTTGCCGTTGTCGGCATCGTCAGTCGGGCATTCCATTCCTCGCAGCCTGAGTTCAAACGATGTAAGTACTATTAATACACTGTGTGTGACGCTGGAAAAAGATGCTGTCCAATCACTAGCCAAGATAGAGCCACGAGACTATGATTTGATGTTGCATGATTGGCTGCGATTATGCTCTCACAAACCTTCTTTCATTGAAAAGACGTGTGGGGATGTGGACTCATGTGCGCGTCTTGGTAAGAAAAAGTTGCGCGAGTTTCGTGTTGATGGTACGACATCAGGGTTGCTGTTTGAAAGCACGTTAAAGCTACGTCCTGTGCGCAACGTGGAGAAACGCGCGCTGCGATATCTCTTCTCGCAAGGATTTCGTAGCAATTTAGGAAATTACAAAGCGAAGGATGGTACTGGTCATGAGGCGATGCTACGAAATGGAAATATAGAAGAAGATTTAGCGGAATTTAACAAAGAATACAAGCAAGTTAGAAGGGAACGACACGATCACGGTATTTTTCGTCGTGCAACTGTCGCTGTACTGAAAAACATAGATGAAGTTAAAATGGGAATGGAAGATCGTGATCGAGAGCATTTGCGATTGGCTCGAGAAGCCGCAATCACTCTAGACAACAAAACGTTTCGGTGTCGACCGCGGAGGAACAAATCATTGCAGCGACGATGTGTAGTGCCCATCCTGGATGTACTTTCTGAGGAGCAAAGCGATGGAGAAGATATAATTGATAAAACAGAGAGAGATCGTATACCGGCAATAGTGGCTGAAGACGCTAATTTCATGAAAGACATGACTGAGTGCGCACTGTGCAAGTACAAAGTCTCCGGCCATGTTCACCCCGGAGTGCCGCCAATAACAGCTGTACAGGTATCAAACGAAACAAAGCAAGACGATAAGAAAATAGAGATGCGATCCAGGGCTGATAATCCACCACACAAGCGTTTGTCGACCTGGTTCTGAACAGGACGGACTGAAGCGCAAAATAGAAATTAGTAGACTATTTGCAGAGAGTTGCAACACAAGCATGGTAGTATGCCTGTAGTTGATACCGCTGCTCGTAGAGTTTTTGATTACTTGCTAGTCAAGCTAAGTAATAAGGTATTGACAATGACAACATGCTTTTATTAGCATTAAATCAATTCTTTGATTTCGTCCATGAAGGCGTCAAAGTTTTTCGATACGGAGTCGCTGTACAATAGTTCGGAAGATGCAGGTGCAACACTATCTGCAGGTTGAGGCGGCGATGCAGATGGGGACCGGGCTGGAGGATGGGGATTTGCGAATGGATGTGCATTGCCAACTTTGGGAATTCTGTAGTTCGATGGTGCATGCGCGTGACGTTGTACACGAAGAGCTACGGGTACTAGCGAACGAAGCTGTGTACGCTTCTCATTCGCGCGTTCAGCAGCCAAATCCTTCACGTCTTCATCTTCTCGAGATTTAAAGAATGATGGATTAGGAGCTTCAATGCTGTCTTGTGCATTCTCCTCCATCGTGGATTGCGCGGGTGCAATGCTCAGATTTCCCGCGTTATATGAAGCAACGTCAGGTTCATTTATCTGATAGCCCGAAGATTGCGGTTGCTGTGAAGGTTTAGGTAGTCCTTCCATTCTATCATCAGTTTTGGAGTATGCTGGAGGAGGCGGAGGTGGTCGAGCGAGATATACTCCACTCGGAAATGGCGGTCTCGAAGGCACCTGAATCGTTTCTGGTGGAGGAGGTCCGGGTGGAAGAGGCGGTCGCAATCCAGGCCGTTGCCGGGGCTGCTGACTTACCGACAGTGATAATTCATCAACTCCAGCTCCTTCTTCACAATTACGCTCTCGCTGCTCATTAGGTTCATGACACCATCTCTGTTTTAGTGGGCTCCTTTGTGCGGCTTTAATGACTGGATTTGACGGCATGTCGCGGTAAATTTGCGGCTTGCCGGGAGGTGGTGCTCCGAAAGGATTCATTATAGGATCATAATAAATAGAGCGTTCCGGGTTCTGATATTTCTGCTTGTTGGTCTGTGTCAGCTGTGCCATACTCTAGTATTACCGCACCAAGGTGGATGTAGTTGGTTAGTCTGTCAATTTTTCCTCCTGTACCGCACAAAATTCTCACCTGTGGCCGAAAAGGTGCACCCATTTGTTTCCTGCATTCCTCGTCTGCTACTTCCTTTTGTTTCTTGACGACTGCCTGGAGCGTGTCCTCGAGCTCTTGCTTACGTTTGCGCGCAAAACCGTCTGTCGGGTTTGCTTTCACCTGTCGTTCGAAGTTCCTCAGTTGCTCCCGAATCGCGACTGTATCCATGCTGATAAGCTTGACCTGCTTATGCTTTTGTCGCTCCATTCGGTGCTTTTTCAGTTCTCTTTTTTTCTGCTCGCGGCGGTACGCCTCCATCGGGTTTAGCGTCTTAGCCATGGTGAAGATGGTCGCTCAAATTCAGGTATTTGAGAATAATTCAACAAACGGAAATTACAGGAGAGTTTTTATAGGCAAAATTTGCCAGAGTACATATGTGGTCCCAACACGTCGTATATCGAGAAAGAAGCGGACGCTTTTATTTGGTCATTAACGACGACAAGATGTCTGTTTGATCCTAAGCTTGGTTATCAGCGTCGGTTCCTTTGGATACCGGGGTCGTACGAGGCTTGTCTGTTGGAAGTTGACCCGATTAAGTGAACGGTCGGCTTCAAACAGTAGTTACGAAACTACTTGCATAGGATACC